GCGCAGCCCAGCCGCCAGCTACATTGTAGCGCTCGGGTGGGGAGCAGGCGTGCCGCCCCGGTCACCGCTGAGCATCTGAAGCCCCCGCCAGGCACAGGCTGCCGGGTGAGCTGGGGAGCAGGGCAGGCAGCGGGGTGCAGAGGCTGCAGGGGTAGGGAGGCGCAGGGGCAGGGCAGGCGGGGGGCGTAGAGGCTGCAGGTGCGGAGGGGTGCAGGGGCTGCAGGGCGAGTGGGGAGCAGGGGTCACAGAGGCTGCAGGGGCGGGGGGTGCAGGGGCAGCAGGGCGAGTGGGGAGCAGGGGTCACAGAGGCTGCAGGGGCGGGGGGTGCAGAGGCTGCAGGGGCGAGTGGGGAGCAGGAAAGTACTTAGCAACCCCAACCAAGATCAGAGCGGGAGGGAGGAGGGGGAATGCAGGGTGCTCAGAGGAGGGGGCCGAGTTGGGGCAGGGACTTTGGGGAAGGGGCTGGGCCGGGGGTGGGGAAGGGGCAGAGTTGGGGCAGGGCCAGGGCCCCGTGGAGTGTCCTCTTTTTTCAGTGTTGAAATATGGTAACCCTACCATAGGATAGGTGACTCTTAAAAGTAAAAAGTTCCTTTACATATATATTCTCTTTCTCTCTCATACACATACACACACTTCACCATGCCTACAATGTGTTTAGTCTCTTAACATGAGACATTTTGGTTCTTAAGGTACTGGTACAATATATTCACTGAATGCTTATTTCAAGTAAATTTCTTGCTGATAATGCTGTAATGGTAAAAAGACTGATTTTTAGCAAAGAACTTGAAGCATTCTAACGCAGTTTGCTTTTAAGTATGCTCTTAATATTGTATATATTACTTTGAATTACTTGCTTCTCTCCTCCACAAGTATCTGACAAAAGTAACTATTTCAGGGCTTTGAGGAGAAAAGTATATTTTACATATTAGGATATAGATATTCAGGCCTGTCTGTAAAGGCCTATACTTTAAGAATTTAGATGTATTCTTATCACTTAGCTAGTTATAGAGGTATAAAAGAAAGAATCAAAATCAGTCTGTCTGTGTGTGTAATGGCCTTCTCTTACTGTGACATCTGAGGCCTGGTTCTTAGGCTAAGGCCTTCGGCTAAGCAGCAGAGGCCAACCATAAACTGGGAAGCATATGGTCACATCCTCACATTCCAACTAGTCACATTGAAATAAGGCGCTATTGGGCTGTTAGGAATACAATCCTGTCCTGATATTCCTATCACCTCCAGAGAAAGGGAAGAGCCTAGAAGATGTAAAAGGAAACTTAGTTTGATAGCATCCTGTCTGGCAAGAACTCCCTTATCAATAGCTGGGATGTGAAATCCTCATTTCTGTATTGTTCTATCACTGTAATCTCCACTTCCCTATTGTTTGTCTGTATAATCTCTGTCTGATTCTGTGATTGTTTCTGTCTGCTGTATAATTAATTTTGTTGGGTGTAAACCAATTAAGGTGGTGGGATATAACTGGTTAAATAATCATGTTACACTACATTAGGATTGGTTAGTTAAATTTCAGTAAAATGATTGGTTAAAGTATAGCTAAGCAGAACTGAAGTTTTACTATATAGTCTGCAGTCAATCAGGAAGTAAGGGGGGGAAATGGGAACAGGGAATGGGGGTGGGGGAATTGGAATCATGTTTTGCTAAGGAGGGGAAATGGGAACAAAGGCTCTGTGGTATCAGAGCTGGGAAGGGGGACACTAAGGAAGGAAACTGGAATCATGCTTGCTGGAAGTTCACCCCAATAAACATCGAATTGTTTGCACCTTTAGACTTCGGGTATTGTTGGTCTCTGTTCATGTGAGGACCAGGGAAGTGAGAGGGTGAAGGAATAAGCCCCCTAACATTACATATAGATCTGCATGTAGAATTTAGTCTCCTATGCTGCACAAAATACTCACAATTTTTTTTTAATTGTTTGGGATAATTAGAACAAACACCATCTTTAAAAATTAATAAGATGTTTCAGCTACTACATGAGCTCCTGACTCCCCTATTTGTGGTTTCATAAACAAATGTTCCTTTTCATAGAAGTTTCTCTCTTCCTTGATGTTGTGTGAAAGCCTCACAGAAACAACAGAGTCTTGATTCTGTAAAGGCTTATGCACGTATTTAAGTTTTTGCAGGATTGACATCTTAATCCTGCAACTGGATCTGAGGAGGCAGACCCCAACACCTATGTAGAGACCCACAGAAATCAACAGTTGCAAAGATCCAGCTGCAGAATCAGTGATAAACACTACTGGGACTGATCATGAGTAAAGTTATATGCATGCTTCAGTGTTTGCAGAATTAATTAAACCCATTCCCAAGCAACACCAGCTAAACTGAAAAAAGCCATTTCTTTATACCAGAATAAGATTGATCACACAGGAGGTTATACCAGTAGATCTATATTGGTTTATATGAACACTTTAGCTTACACCAGTATAACTTTCCCATGTAGACAAGTCCTAAGACTTCACAAGGAAAGTGAGAAACTTATGCCTGCCCCTCCCCCCTGCAATCAGAGCCATATAAGCAAATCCCTACACCTGGAAATGGCTCTGCACAGGCAGAGAGCTCACCTGCACGAATCTGATTGTAAGATCAAGGCTAAACGACTGTCAAAGCACAAGAAAAACTGAAAGACGAGATATCTCCCCGACCCAGCTCCCTTTCAGTTACAGTAATACTGGTGGGGTACTTACAACAACAACAGTAGCAGGTAAAGTATTTTCAGACCAGAAGTATCGTTTCAAATTGATGATCCCTCTAAAAAGAAACCAACTGGGCTCAAAGGCCAACTCGGAGCCCCTTAGGCCGTCACACGTAGGGCCAAGGTGGAGGCCGAGGCCGCCGCCGCCGCTTCCACCCCCAGGGCAAAGCTGCAGGGCGCACGAGTCCGCAGGAGCTCCCCAGACACCACTGTCAGAGACTGGAGCAGGGCGCCTCGGACCCCCAGGGCTCGCGGTGCAGCCAGCCCCCCACTTATGTAACGGCTTGGGAGGCGGGCCCCTGCGCGGCCCAGAGCCGCCTCCTCGCCCTTACCTCGTTGGCCGTGCCCGGCTCCCGCTCCGTGGCCATGGCTGGTCGGGAAGGGGAAGGGGAACAGCACCACGCGCCACCTACCCCCTCTCCCCCAAACCAGCTCCCGAGTCCGACCAGCCGACGACGCCCGCGAGAGACGTCAGAAGAGCCGCGGCGCAGCTGATTCTACGTCACCTTCCAATCAACGGCAGCAGCGACGGAACGAGGTGGAGCCTGTTGGTCTGGTCACGTGACCGTACTGCCACACCTGCGATCCAAGACCTTGGAAGCCATGTGCAAGCCTGGGTGGTACCCCCGGGAGCCTCTGGGTGACACGCTTCTGTGCGTGTGCCTCACGGAAAGCTGATTGTGTTATTTTGTGCAAATAATCCATCTGAATGGTGACGTTTTTGTCAGTTTTCCAGCGTTTTCCCTGTATTCTGCCTCTTGCTATCCACCGCCAAATAACCACTGTATCGGTATGTTTGTAGACTATTATAATTTAGAGATGCTCCCTTATGAGATAGTTTTATGAACATTGGCAATGTGCCCTGCAGGCGAGGATTGGGAACACCCCATGGCTGTGTGCCTCAGTTCACTGGAGATGCTCTTCAAATTATTAAAGTTGTATTCCTTTTTCATTCACTGGTTTGTTATATAATTAACCACAAAAGCATTACAACCATCTGAGAACACTTTATTCCCCTCAATCATTGCACAAATGAGTCAGACATTTTTTTCCATTTTCATCATTTCTATTTACATTTGCAGCATCTCTATATACTCCCCCTGCTGTTTGTTTCCCCAGTACCACAGCAGCCCAGTAATAATAAAACAAGGCATCTAGAGCCAGCTAATAGTCACATGCACACAACATCCAAGGCTGCTTACACAGTGAGAGAGTATGAGAACTGCTTAGAGTGGTAGCAACTGAAGGCCTCTCAATTTCTTCCCTCCTTCCTATTTAAAATAATTTTTAAAAGGGGGCGAGGGAGAGAGAGGGGACACTTTACTGCCACCACTCCCAACCACAGCTTTGGCCATCAAGGAAAATATGCTATGAGTACATGAGCAATGCAAAATCCAGTTTCTTGAATGGAAGTTCGTGCCCAGTACTCCCTTCTCGTATACTCAGTGCATTCTTGGTATTTCTGAGCAGTCATGAACTAAGTACTTGCCACTAGATATGTGTGGTGTCTTCTCTCTTAAAGAGAGCTGATAACTGAGTGGTGATAAACATTGCAGTGCCTAAAGTTCTACATGAAGTTATACATACAAGATAACTCTTGTTCTGTATTTCAGCAATAACAATGCAAAGATTCAAAAATTGATACAAGCATATGATTTTGCACCAGGAAAAAAACATTGTGGGGTGGCATCCCTTAAACTTTTCATACAAATGTCCTTTATGGCATGTAGCTGGGGCCATTTTGGTTGCAGAATATTAGAGACAAGGTTGATGAGGTAAAATCTTTTATTGGATCAGCTTCTGGGGGTGAGATTTCAAGCTACAGAGCCTTTCTTCAGGTACCTCTCCCAGACCTGAAGCAGATCTGTGTGGCTTGAAAGCTCCTCTCTCTCACCCCAACAGAAGTTGGTCCAATAAAATATTTTACCTCATCCAGTTTGTCTCATTTCCTTTAAAAGTTAGTAGTCACTGATCTGACAATATGCAGATTCAAGCAGCACATGGGCTATTTATAATCTTAAAGCCAGGACAGCCAACTGCATTCTCCAGCCTGTTTTAGTGTGATCGGCTGACTAGCCTTCATCATGCTAAAGCGATTTGAGAGGTGGCTCAAATAGGCCCAAGGCAGCAAAGTAATGGTGCACATTCTGAGGTAGTGAAGCCTAGATTAACTTGTTTTGTGAAGAGATTCTCGATTCAGAGTAGTCAGCCAGCAACTGTGTCTTCACAGAGACAGGTATTATGTCATAGTGGAGAACAAGGTTGCTGTGAAGCCACTTTTTTGGGGGGAGGGGTGGGGGTGGGAGACGGATGGGACCTATGCAGTGATTTAATGATCAGTTTTGGACAGGTACCTCCTCCACTAGTTTAGCCTTAACACCCAAATTCTACATAGGAATTAACTATCTGCTAATACACAAGATTTCTTAGAAAGACTTCACAAAGTAGGTATCTAGAATTAAGAGAGTCAGTGTTTATTTCTTCAGACCCATTGTGAAGAATTGGGAAGCCATGGGCTTTGAACTAGTCAAACATTTGTAATTACAATGCTGTACAGAGGAGCTCAGTATTGAAACTAAAGTCTCTAAAGAAAAAATACATGTAATAAGTCTATAGTCAGGACATAGACATGCAACATGAACACTTTATTAAACAAAAGTAATTTAATAAAAAGTCAAATAGGCATTTATATTACAGTAAAGGAATATGTTTCAATTAATCTTTAGACACCATAGCAGCCTACTTGGAATTGCATTTGACTGAGCTCTGTTGCTGTGAATAATACAGCTCATGCACAGATACGGATGTATGTTTTGTACATTTTTTTTCAAGTATTCACTGAATACTACCAACATATATACACTCATATACATAAAGTCCAGAAGATTTAATAGAAGTTTTCCAGAAAAAAAGTTCATTTTTGTTGGTCTTTCGGAAGAGGTCTTCTAAAGAGAAGGATGTGTGGTTCTGTAGAAATAAGATTAAAACATTTCAATGTTATCCTGCAATATTTATCATTGCCAGTCCTACACGTGTACAGCAGCTTAGTACTCAATTACTACATTTAATAGAGAAAATGTTAAGTCTGCCCACTGAGCGCAAGAAAAATGACCATTCCTATATACAGTGCCTTCAAGCTTGCCCCTCCATATGGCATAAAAGTGTTAGAAGCACATGACTTAGTATCTTAAGCCAATTAGGTGCTTTTAAGAAGTTTTACCCTTGGTGCCAAGACAGGACACTCAAAACTAAAATGGGAATTACTACAACAGTTACATATTTCCATGAATGCTCAAGTTTCAAATACTTGGAAGGTTAAGTGTTGAGTGACTGATCAGTGCATTTTAGTGTGGAATTCTATCTTCCCACTTGTAACTGTAATACATGAGCATATGATCAACTCCTTAGACCAGGCCTGCACAACTTGTAAAGCGGTGAGGGCCATATTACTCTAAAGAAAACAGCTGAGGGCGGAAAACCTTCCCCCTCCCTCCCCCCAAAGCACTGCCCACCCTGCGGAAACAACCTCCCCCCTCCCCCAGGGCCACCCCACCAAAACAGCAGTATTGAACCTTGGTAATGTGTTATAGCAGGCCCCTAAGGTAGTATAATTAAGGTAGAAGTAGAATAAGATCTTCTCCCCACTTTGTAATCAATTACCCTGTTGAATGAATGAGAAAGACATGGAAGGCAGGCACCTCCAGACAGCTGCAACCCTTGGGGAGGGGATGCCTTCCAGACCAAGGACAATTAAACTTGTCAAGCGGGCTCACTAGAGAAGAGCAGACATACTGATGGCCTCCAGGGTTAGAAGCAAGTACCTTCCTTTGGTAACACCCTCTTTGCAGCATTGGGACAACCCCCAACCCAGAGAAAAGCAGCAAAAAGGACCAATTTTTATGAGACGAGATCAGTAGAACAGGTCAGCCACTGACTTGGTGCTTGCCCCCCCCCCCCCCAGCTTGCTTCCTCAGCCCCCTCCCCCACCACACCTGCCCCCACCCCCTGCCACTGGCTCACCCTCACTCCCCAGCCTGCCACTGGACTCTTCACCACCCCGCCCACCCACCAACCTGTGGGCTTGCCCCACCCCGCCGCTTGCCTACTCACCCCCTAGTTCTAGTTCAGGGCTTGAAAAGTTTGACAGCTACAAACTAGACATGAGATGCCCACTAGTTAAACCCAGACAAATCCTGCCCTAGGTCTAAGAGCAAGTGTTAGGGAAATTTGAAGCCACAGCCTCCACAAAAATGACTCCAGTGCTTCTCCACTACTGTTAGTTTTCCCAAGCAACTACAGAGTTGTATCAATCTTTTGCTTCCTGTAACATTGGGTATTGCTAGTAGGCAAAGATTCAGGGTGTCCTTTTAATCCCAACAAGTACCTGTGCAGTCAATTAAAATGCCATTATAGCTATAGAACCGTCATTCTATTTACCTGGCTCATGGATCATGTAATGGACCCAGCCAAGACTTTGCTGGACACCAAGTCTTCTCCATTCCTCTTCAGACATTAGATGGGTTTTTGGTACTTGCTTTGAAAGCTCTCTGGGTAACATCACATGTCTGTTGAAAATATAATAGTACTAAAGTTATCCTACAGTACAGATCAGTTCTCTTTTTGATGAGACCTGTATTTGTAGGCTATAACCCTTACTGCCTTTCCTAGAGAAATATCTTAAGCAGGGCTCAAAGTCCAGAACTATAGCCTCCAGACAGAGGATATCAGGCAACTTGGCATTATCCTGACCACCAGTGGGAAGCCCAGCACACTTTTCTTAATATATTGTGCCCCTCCCAATCTATTTCTGTCCCAGCGGCTGGAAGGATGCCCACCTGTTCTCAAGTTTCCTGGGAGTGCCATTCACTACACTACGAGAGACATCAACTGTTCTACATGTTGATGTACCAATGGCAATATACAGGCTATTTAAAAGATAAAGCTGCATGAATTAAAACTATTATAAGTATTCATATTAAAATACATTTAGCATACCACCTCTTAAGCTTAAATCTTGAAAACCAAGAGCCAGTATGGTAGATGTTAAACCTTCAGCCCTGTAAGGGAAGGTGTAATCATATACTCCATTCCCCACTTCATCTGAAATATATTTGAGCCAGGAGAGAATTCTTGCCTGGTCTAGCACATGTTTATCAAAGGAAAGAGTGCTCCTGGCAACTGATTATTGCCACACTGTTTAAGAGAAGAAAGGAAACTCCTATCTACTTGATCAGATAAGTGGTTTTAGAAACATACAAAGCAACATTCTTATACCACCAGCCATGATTCACTTATCACTGTCAAGTCAACTGCTGACCAAGATAATCTGACCTCTGCCCTTGAGTACAAAACTGTCTATGTAGATCACAAGCCTATCTAGGTGAGAGTAACATGAAACTGAGGCATTGTAGTGCATTTCATAGGGCACTGAGCAGTCTGTTTACATCTTCCCTCTGAGACCAGTTACACTCTGCCTCCCTATGATGCAAACTGGTCTCACAGCATTGTTTCAGGCTTGAATTAACAAAACATTCAAGTGGGGTAAGCAAGAGGTCATCCATCCTATAGCCTTGTGCTCAATGTCATTAACCTGCATATAAGGAGTCACCAATATACACACACCCAGAGCAAAACTACCCACAAAAAGCATGGCATCTTTACTACTAGGATTTGTTCAGGGTATTGTATGAGTTAATACACTTCAAGTTAAAGCTCCAAGACTCCCTTGCATTGCAGAGCAGCTACACACAAAAAGGCGAAGTGCCCACCTGCCCAGGCCACGTGGTCTCAGTGAGCTTGTATAAAGTGACTAGAGCAGGAATTGCCTCACTCTGAAGCAGTGAAAGCAGAGTCAGGTTCTGGAGGGAGCCAGAGGCGCCTCCCCTGATGTGGCCAACAGACAGTTGCCATTGTTGTCACTCCATCCCCGAGATCAGGATTGTTTACAGGTAGTAAAACCCAGTCCCACCAATGTCTGCTCCAGGTGGGTAAGGGACGTGCGAGCCCGCCACTGCTCAGCAATGGCCGCTAGAGTTTCCCCAATGAATTTCAGGGGCGCGGAAGTTCCGGCGAGCTCCGAGTTGAGCGCCAGCACGCCTGGCTTCCCTGGGAGACGGCGCTGGAGGCTCCGAGCAGGCCCCGCGATTTAGTCACTGGCTCGGGAGCCCCTTCAGCGCACACAGCCCGACCGCCCCAGGCTCCCCGGCCCCCGCGCAGGGCCCATTGTTCCCCCGACCCCTGCAGAAGGAGCCGCCGTCCCCTCATTTTCCGGGGCAGACTCGGCGGCGTCTGCGCTCGAGGCGGGCGGAGAGAGCCTGAGGCGGGCCCCGATATTAGAGCGCCATATTCTGATCTGAGCCCCCCGAACCCCGTCACCCCAGAAGAGTCACTGATCCCGTCCACACCCCCAGGGGGGAGCAGCGAGGCAAAGCATTTACACCCCCACCCCAGAAAGCGCTGCGCCCCGCGCCTCCCCCCAGAGGCGCCTACGCGCGCCCCGCCAGCGGCACGGAAGAGAGTGAAGGACAGAGAGAAGCAGCCCCCGCCCCACGCACCGATACTCGTAGTGCTCGTCGAAGTATTTGTCGGAGTAGTAGATCTGCTTATGGGCCATGGCGGAGGCAGCTACACCAGCAGGACCCAACTCGCGTTCCTCACCCTGAGGCAGAGCTCGCTGATTAACTGACCTCTTCAGCTTTCCACTCAATTTGAATCCAACAATTCAACGTTTATTGGCGGGCGACGCCAGCCAATCACAGAGCGCGCTATCACATACGTCAGACAATGACATCACCCGTATCCTCCACTGTCGCCCAACCAACCATTTAGAGGCCATTAGAGCAAAAGGCATGGCGTATGCGTGGGACGTTAAAGTGCGCTGCGCGCGCAAAGGTTGGGAGGGAGTTGGAGTCAGCGCGTGCGCTCGCTCATGCCTCTTGCTCTTCTGTAGACGTGCGCTTGCCTCGTGAGCAACTGTGGGGCGGTTATGGGCGGGATTGGTTGCGGTTGCTGGCGGTTAGGGAATGGGGCAGTTCCAGCAGTTTTCTTCAGCTGCATGTGGGGGTGCAACTGCTCCGCCTCTCCCGACCTAGGGGCCGTTCCTGCTCGTCTCCTACCCTCTGTTGAGGAGTGTCCCGCGTAGCTCCCCCCACAGTAGTACCTCCCTTCTGCAGCTAGCAGTGAGGGGCTGTCTGGGTGTGCTTATACTGTAGTGTGTTAACGCGGGATTCAAACAGGCTCAAGCCTAATTACTTCCCCTGCTGCCCAATCACACTAACCCAGAGCTGGAACCTAGGACCCCATGGGAGTAAAGGGTTGAAGCCTGAGTCAAGCCAGGAATCAGGGTTCAAACCCTATTGTTTTACAGTGTAGACATAGCCTCATTGGACTTGTGCTCTCTCTGGGAGTACCCCAGAAGTATCCCATGGGCTGGCTTTGTCGGCTAGACAATCAAATTTCCCCACACTGCACCGTGACCAAAAGTAGGGTGACTAGAGACCCTCCTGATTTTCCGATGTTTGTCCCGATATTTTGCTCCGCTGGCGGACCCTGCCCCCCCATTGTCCTGATATTTTGTTCCTCTCATCTGGTCACTCTAAACAAAAGGCCAGAGTGACACATTTTGGGAGGGCACTAGGAAGTCTGAGATACGGGTGGTTGGACTTGGACCTGTTTAATGCAGTCGGTAGTCTGGATCTGCATATGGGAATCAGGGTTCAATAATTCCTAACCTGGGGTTACAAATAATTGTAGCTGCTCAAACCCTATGTTAACAAACGCCCTCTGCTAACTCAAGTTTTCCTAAACTTGCACTTATACTGCACTGTAGGCATACCGTCTGGCTACTCAGCTGTCTGTTCTTACCTAAGGTTACAATAGTGATGGAGAACTGAGGTATGTCTACACTGCAAAAAAAACCCTGTGGCAGCAAGTCTCAGAGTCTGAGTTAGCTGACTCTGGCTTCTGCTGCAGGGCTAAAAATAGCAGTGTAGATGTCCTTGCTCAGGCTGTAGCCCATACTCTGAAATCCAATGAGTGGGGAGGGCCTGAAAGCCTGGGCCTGAATGTCTACAATGCAATTTTTAGCCCCACAGCTTGAGCTGTCAGACTTGCTGCCGCAGGTGGTTTTGTGATGTAGACATACACATGGTAACCCTGGCTACCAGCACAATGCAGCCCCAGCTTCTAGAGGTTTCAATATTGCTAACCACCTGACCCAAGTTACTATGTCTTCACTGCTGCATAAACCCAAGTTAGTTAATCCGAGTTAAGGACACACTGGTTTTCGCAGCATAGACATACATTTGATTACAACCCATGGGTGCACTTAACCTAAGCCCTGATGCACCTACACATTTCTCATGGCAACGGGCAGGTGCAAAAAAGCTGCACAAGATAGAAACTGTTCAAACTACTCATAAGCATGGCTCTATCTAACACATCTCCATGGGGTGGCACCACTCAGAAGGACAGCTGCAGCTATAGCCCAGGGTGGCCAGGATCCTGTGTGATTAGGTCTCTGGGTTTAACCATAACAAGCTCATTCTCAAAGGTTAGTAACATAGCATCAGTATTTTAGGCTGGGGGATTAGGAGACCTGGGTTCAATTTCCTTCCTCCACCAACGACTCCCTTTGTGACCTTTGGCAAGTTACTGAGGGTGAGTCTTCACAGCAAAAGCTGTACACAGATTAGCCTGCCCAAATTAGCTTGAATCTAGCTAGCACAGAAATAGTGTTAGGCCAAGCATCCCTAAAGCTTAATTGGGTTCATGGTATATGTTAATATTTATATTGGTTGTATGTTTATCTGATTTCCTTGTTGTGTAAGGAGACCATTTTTAGTTTCAAAATGGAGCCCTAGTTTTCAAAATGGACTCCTGGGTCACCTGACTCAGCTGTCTCACTCTTGATTTAAACCTGGTAAGCAACTTCCAGTTTTAACTGTTTTTTTCCCAGGAAATGCATAGGGCTTCCCGAGCAGGAGTTCCCTTGAGGGTTTTTTCCCCACCAAAAGAGTATATATAAGGCCTTGGCTACACTTACCCGCTAGTTCGGCGGCTGGCAATCGAACTTCTGGGTTCGACTTATCGCGTCTAGTCTGGACGCGATAAGTCGAACCCGGAAGTGCTCGCCGTCGACTGCGGTACTCCAGCTCGGCGAGAGGAGTACTGCGGAGTCGACGGGGGAGCCTGCCTGCCGAGTGTGGACCAAGGTAAGTTCGAACTAAGGTACTTCGACTTCAGCTACGTTATTCACGTAGCTGAAGTTGCGTACCTTAGTTCGAATTAGGGGGGTATGTAGACCAAGCCTAAGGCTAATCAGCCCTCACAATTGGGCTGCCCATCTTAGTGGCAGGAGTGTGCATGTTTGCCTTTTCAGGTTGCCTACATCAGGACCAGTAGAATCATCATCACACCAGGATTTTCTCCTCAGAGGATGCCTTAGAGTCCTCTCCTGTGGCTTTACAC